GGAGAGGCCCGCGCCGAGTCCCCGCACCCTGCAGCCCGGAGTCCCCGGCTGCCGGGCTCCGGGCTGCACGCTCTGTGCGCAGGGCTCGACCCGGTGCATTCGCATCCACAGCCTGCAGTGTCTGCAGCGCTGCACCGTGCACGCTCCGCGGCGTCCTCTGCAGGTCCGCTTCCCTGCGGGTTCCGCGCTGGGTCCGGCCGAGGGCGGATTTTGTGGCTGCCCTCAAGGGGCTTGCAGTTCTGAACCCAGTAAGGGAAGCGAGAGCCAAAGGGCTCAAGTCCCCAGTCTTCAAGTAGCTTCCTGGAGAGCCCCAGTGTAGGACATGGCCCCGAAGCCCTGGGTTTGAATCCTACGCCTGTAATCCTAGGCGCTGGACCCTGGACTTGGGGAAGCGCCGACTCGCTCAGTCTTCGTGTTTTCATTTCGAAAGCTGAGAAGATCATATCTGGGGCCCAAAGCCTCATCTAGGGCATGAGGTGAGGGTCAGAACGCAAGGGTATTGATGGAGGAGTGCTGGACTTTGCTGGATTCCGATAATGTTTTCAGGTAACCAGCGCCTTCCGCATGCATGCACACCCACAATCTTTTGGAAAAAGACAAGCCTCGAATAGCCCCTCTCCGCGGAAAGAAGGGAAACACCGGGCCAGGGTCCCCATGGCCAGTGACCCTGATGCTGTTCCCCACAAATTCTCCCTGACCCCAGCAAGGACAGATGACAGCAGAGGGCAGCATCACTGGGAAGTGCTGATCCGCCAATGACAGGCAGTTTATTCCAAAGCTCTAGAAGGAGAAGGGGCCAGAAGGGGCCAGGCTAGTTGCAGCTCCCTCAAGAAGGTGGAGGTCAGCCAGCCTGGATATAGGATGGGATGGATGCAGGCTTGTACAAGTGGAGTTCAGGAAGATCAGGCAGCCACAAAGCCAGGTGATGGGCAGGACCTCAGCTCCTGAAAAAGGGAGCTGGACAGAGAAAGGCTGGACAGAGAGGAGGTCCTTCCACCCTGTGAGGCAATCCCTTTAACCTCTCCCAGATAAGGGAGCTGCCTGACCCTCTTCTCTCCCTCTCCCCTCTCTGTCTCTGTCTCTCTTCCCTCTCCCTCTTTCTCTCCCTCTCTTCCTCTCTCTCCCCCCTTTTCCCTCTCTCTTCTGCTTTCTCTCTCTCCTAGGCTCAGAGAAGCTAAAAGACCTAGTCTCAGGAAAAAAAAAATGGATGCAGAGTTCAAAGTCTCCCTTTTCGAAGAGTCAGGTGGGGATGGCAGGACATTGAAGATGTGTACTGGTCATGCCTGAGAATCTCTAGTGACACATGGAGCCAAACTCAAGATTGGTTGTGCACTGGAGAATCAGAAGTCCAGGGTCTATAGAATTGTTTTAGCACACATTGTTGTGTCTCTTGTAATTTCTACCCATGCATCATAGTCCTTCCCTTTAGTCACAGAGCTGATAGAACCTGAGGGTTGTCTGGAAGTTTCTCTGGAGGTAGAACTATTACAACTCTTCGGTTTAGAGTTTTCAGGCCTGTTCTCTAGCTTGCCTAAACTTTTGGTAAAACTCAGTCAACAATAGGACCTTCCTCACAGGCAGCTGTTGACATTTAACAAGGAAAGTCTAGACTGTCACAGTCCCCAGCAGGTAAGGGACTGAAAACTTTTAATTCTCAGAAACCCCACTGCAGTGAGATAAAATAGTTTACAGAGGGTCTGGAGAGTGATGTTTAACAGCCTGGAAAAGGGCCAAGCAGGGGCAGAAACCACTCTAGAAATCATGAAGATTGAAGAGTTGATCCCAAAGGTGTTTGGGAGGGGTCATTCAGAAATGTGAACTACTGCACACTGACCACACTGCCACTCGCCCTCCTCTCCACCCACCCTCCAGCACACATTCCCAAGGTCTTTGATGTTCTATGAGTCACTGTGGTGTAGGTTGAATTATATTCTACAGAAAGATGCTGAAGCCCTCTGTCTCTGTAGGAAACAGCCTTTACATACACAATCACATTAAAATTAAGAAACAGCCTTTACATACACAATCACATTAAAATTAGGAAACAGCCTTTACATACACAATCACATTAAAATGAGCTCATTAGGGTGAGTTCTTGGTTAATACGACAGGTATCCTTGTAGGAAGAGGTGAAGAGGTAAAGTGGTGTGAGGGGAGGCTAGCAATACATGGGAAGACTACTTGGGAGGACAGTGGCTGGAATAGAAATTCTACGGTTAACCAAAACCTAGCTGGGGTCATCAGAAGCTGGGGAAGCAAGGAAGGACCTACCCCTCTTGAAAGTTCTGGGGGTATCCCTGCTGAGTAGACCTCTAACCTCAGATTGCAGAACAAATTTCTGTTGCAGCAGCCTTCAGAAATCACCAGCCTCTTGGTCGTGACTACCTGGCTTTCCAGGAGACATGAGTTGAACAGTCCTTGGATGTGAAGAGCTGGGAGCATCCTTTCATCCATTTACTGCTCATTCAGCACTCTTTCCTCCAGAGTCTATTGTGCTGGTTCCAGCCAGCACCAAGGACAGAGTGACAGCGGACAAGGTTGGGATCTCTGGGAGAAACCTCCCTGAGGAGGGTTGTACACCAGTACAAGAGTGCTCCATGTCAAGGGGAAACAGAACTGGGTGGTCTGATGTGGAAACAGTGACAGTGGGATGGCGAAAGACTCCCTGGAGGGGTGTTTCTAAGGGTTAGCAGATGGAGAGAGCCTTCTGCTAAGGGAGGAGCATGAGCAAAGGCCTGAGGAGAGGCCAGAAGTTGGGCATGTTTGGGAAGAGGAAGGGCAGTGTGGGTTTTGCCATGCGGGCACTTGAAGGCTGTGGGGTTAGAGAGTCCTTTCTCGAATTCTTCAGGTCAAGAACATCTGGACCAGGGGGAGGCTGCGTCCATGAGCCTTTGCATCCCATCAGTCGTGCCCTAGCTCTGCACTTCCAAACCACACCAACCATTTTCTTTCCTCTCTCGGTCTCTAACACTCACGAACATTACTTGTAAAACCCCAGTGTAGCCTGGAAAAGAATCTCTTGCACACATGCCAAGATGTACACTGTAGTGCCTCCATGCCGGCCGGCCCTATGCATCTCGGGTGATTTAAGACTACATAAACCAGAGGCCCGTCATGGGGCGCACGTCTTTAATCCTAACACTTGGCAGGTAGAGGCAGGTGGATCTCTGTGAGGTTCGTGCCAGGCTGATCTGCATAGTGAGACACTGTCTCAAAAAAAAAACAAAAAACAAAAAACAAAAAACCACAAAACACCAAAAAAACAAAAAACAAACAAAAAAACCGAAGTGCACAAACCAATGACCCGAGAGCAGCCCCCCCCACTTCCTTTAAAATATTTCACAAATAGTGAAACTCTAGTGAGCCTAGTAACCGTAGGATTTCATCCAGCCGTAGTTTTTGCCCACTTGTTAAAAGAAACAAAGGCTTTTCCGCCCATGGTCGTCAAGCTGACACACCGAAGACCTGGTGCTCAAAAGTAGGAGCTATTCTGGTCATCGCGGCATGCGGAGTTACCTCTGGTTTCTGAGATGCTGCTTCCCAATGCAACGTGGCAGTCCGTGGAGGAGGATGCTCGGGTATGTGGACCACTTTCCGGCCATCCTCTCCGGCTTGGCGGTGCTGCTCTTTTCTCCTGCGGTGCTCCCTGCAGCGCGGAGCAGCTGCGGGAGACGCTGGCCTGGAGCGCACAGGGCATGCGCTGCGGGTGGAATCCCGGGGATGCGCCAGGACGCCCGGTGCGCTGCAGTACCTCCAGCTGCCTGGGGCGTCGCTGCGGAGCCAGCACTGGGCTCAGCGGTAGAGCTCTACCTGGCTGCGCAGACCGCGCTATCCTGTGTCCCTGCATCCAGCCGCCCGTGGTGGGAACCGAACCGTGCTGGCGATACACCGCGTCCTTTCGTTCTTCCCACGCCCTGGGAGCTGGACGCGCTGCACTTGGGGGTAGCCCGGGACTCCTCCTCCCAAGGCTCCCGCGGAGCTCTCGGCACCCAAACTGTTCTTTGTAATCTGAAGGGCGCTGGATAGACAGATGCTCAATGCCCAGTTCTGTTAGACACTGACAGACCCGAGCGGCGGACTCTGTGCTGCCAGCTCCACGAAGACCAAGTTTGTCCTGTTCACAGAAGGCCCCGGATGGATCTGGCACAGGGTCTGGAACCCAGCACACCAGGCCTCCTGGACCAGAATGCCAGACCCTGGGCAACGCATTGTGTATGCATGAAGCATGGTGGGGCACAGGGGCCGTCCAGGATTGGTGCTGGAGGAGGTCGGTACAGAAAGTGAGGGGGATGGTTAGAAACTCGGTGCAATCTGCCCAGGCCCTGGACACGGGGAATTGGGTGGGCTGTACTCAAAGTCGGCGCATGGTCACTCCTGGCTAGGGCCGTGAGGTGCAGGATATGGGGGAGTCCTGATCCTTGGCTTCCGGAAGATCTAGGCTCATCCCTAGACCTCCCCTCACCTGTCATCCACCCATCCTGCATCCAGTGGTCCTTCTACAGAGCTAATGGGCTAAGTCATTAGTCCGGTACTTTCCAGCACTTGTAGGATCCTGCGGGCCTACCGGAAGGCCTCTCTGTCCCTCCCCTCCTCACCCTGTGGGTTCTTGCTTGCTGGCTCCCCTCTGCAACACTGAGCACCAGGCTTTCACTCTCCTCATCACCCCGAACCTCTGACATGTCTCATCTTTCTCCCAACACTTTACCTGCCTGTTTTCTTTTTAAAAAAAATTATTTATTTAATAACCACGTACTTAGAAGCATTTCATTTAAAAAATACTTTGATTACTTCTTTGAGAATTTCATACAATATTTTTATTACATTTACTCCTCCCTCCTCCCCCCACCTCCTTTCATATATTCTCTCTCCCCCCTCCCCCCTCCCTCCCCTTCTCCCTCTCCACCACCTTTTCCTGTTCCCACTGCCCATATACTCCTGGGTGTAGGTCATACACCGAACTGTGGTCATGAACTCAGCCTTCCAATAACCAGGGCCTTCTTTTCTAACTTCTATAGCTCAAGTCTACTGCCCCCCCCTTTTTTCTTTAACTTCTTTAGTTCAAGACTTACATTTTCTTTTCTCCCTGTAGCCCCAGCAGGCCTGGAACTCACTATGTAGACCAGGCTGGCCTTGAACTCACAGAGCTCCGCCTGCCTCTGCTTCCTGAGCACTGGGAGGAAAGGCCACCATGCCCCGTTCTAAGGCTCATGTATTTTCATTGACTTCATTGTCACTTCTGAATTTCACTCTTTTAATCCAGGTTCTGACAGCAACTATTTTCACCAGGGTTTTGATCTCCTCCTTGTTCCAAGTGCCGTTTGTGAGAAAGAATGAAAATTTGAGTGGAAAGATTTTATTTCAAGTTTCTAAGTTTATTACGTTATACTCTCAGAATACTGTTCCTGTCTCTGGTTTCTGCAGTATGGCCATCTTTTCTTTGTAGATGAAGTTTTTCGGTATTTGAATTTCCTATTCTGAGGTTTTCTTTTTTATACCTACATATATATTAGAATAACTTTATGAATGAGATAACTTGCCCTTTTGTTTCCTGGACAGTCAACCATAGTATCTCTTGATGTCTTCTGTGCTCTAATTTCTTCTTAAATTTCCTATGCTTTTACTTAAAGATGTGGTGATATTGGAAGGATAAATATTCTTGGCCATTAAGTGTTCATTGTTGACAGCATTTTTTTTTATTATTACCAAGTTTCTCTTTGTCTAGTTTAATAGTCTCCATCCCCAAGTTCAGTCTTGTCAGCTCCTAAATATTGTGTTCTTTAATTCTTTGTATCTGCATGCTGTTTTACCCATTTGCTTGTTACCAACCTGCTAAGTAATTATATCTCAAAAAGACCCAAAATAATAATAATAATTAAAATATAGAAGAAATTCGGGCTTTATTTTGTGATCCAATTGGAGTAATTTTTTTTTTTTTTGGTCTTTTTGAGACAAGGTCTCCCTGTAGCCCCAGCTGATCTGGAACTTGCTATGTAGACCAGGCTGGCCTCGAACTCACAGAGATCTGCCTGCCTCCGCCTCCCAAGTGCTGGGATTAAAGGCGTGCGCCACCACGCCCGGCTGAGAGTAAATATTTTTAAAAAATATTTTATTATTTTTACTTTATGTGTATGAATGTATTGCCTGCTTGCATGTACGTGAGTGCATTTGTATGTGGTTCTGGGATTCGAACCTGGGTCTTCTGCAAGAACAACCAGTGTTCTTAACCACTGAGCCATCTCTCCAGCCCTGAGAGTATTTTTTGGTTGGTGAATTTTATATAAATTAATATGAAGGGCATGTTTGGTTTTAGCTGTTTTTGTTCAAATCAGGTTTTGTGTTGTGTTCCCTGCTTCTATTGTTACCTTATTGGTTTTCAATCTTTGATTCTATTTTCTACTTTATCTGCTTGGTGTTTATATATAGATGTTTTAATAATTTGGGTGGGTTGCATTTTCCCCAGTAGTATGCATACCTATATTTCTCTGCATTTCTTTTTTTGTAAATTTTTTATTGAATTTTTGTGTATTTCATACAGAACATCTTAATCATTTTTATACCCCCTTCTCCACTGGCACCCCCCACCCCCCATGCTGGAATTCACGCATTCTGTCATTTGCGTTAAGGCCTGTCATGTAAGGTTAGTATCTCCAGATGTCTCTCAATGCAAGTTCATCCGCTGAGGTCTACTCAGCTTATCTAGAGTTCCTCCCTTTAAGATCAGCTCTTCATCACCCAGGAAACCTTCCTGTTTTCTTTCTCCTTCTATACAAAGTCTTGTTTACCCTTAAGGCTCCAGTGCCCAAGTAAGAAGGCCTTGGGCTTAATAGGTATTGTTAAAAGCAGATTCATCCTTATAAATTAAAACAAGGGGGCTGGAGAGATGCCTTGGTGGTTAAGAGCCCTGGCTGCTCTTACAGATGACCTGGATTGGGTTCTCAACACCCACATGGTGGCTAACAACCGTCTGTAACTCGAGCTCCGGGAGGCCTCCACAGGTATTTCACAACATAGATACACTTACACACATGCAGGCAATGCACCCATATGCATAAAGTAAAAATAATAAATACAATTATTAAAATTAAAAAATTAAACCAAGACGAGACCAAACCTATCTGTGGCTGGCATCACAATTCATGAACACACATTGGAATCCTTGCTCTAAATCTGTGCACTGAATTGTTCATCTGTTCTTTTCTACCTCTAGAGTTTATTTGGAGAAATCACTGGGAAAATGACCAAATTTTCTTCATAAGGTTGCAATGAGGATGAGGGGAGGGAACTTTTGCCGAAAACTTGTGACAAAGCTCATTCTGAGCGCTAAACATGATGGAGCTGTTACAAGACCTCAGGAACAAACACTCCCAGATCTTGGCTGTTCAAGAAGACAAAGGTTTATTTTTCACGTACACTCTGCCCATGTGTATACCGAAGACTCTGCTCCTTGGTAATCTGCATCCAGCAACCCTGTTGACAAGCACTGGCTGCTGTGTGGCCAGATGCAAGGGCAATGCCTTAGCTGAGCTTTGACTTGTAAACTCTGGAAGCAAATGACTTTCATTCACACTCAATTGGCCAAAGCCAGTCACATGACCCTACCTATGCAAGGTGGAAAAGAGCTCCATGTTACCCTTGCCTCAGAGAGCTAGAAATGTTTCCTAGATGGTAACAGCTCATGTTACTCTCACTTATTCTTATGGTGACTCTTGGGGACTACTGTAAAGTGCACACTCCAGTGGGAAAACTCTTGGAGCTCAGCTTAGGTAGCGATCAGCCTGGATTTCTGCTACTTTTGGGTATAGCCTGGTTCTCCTGCTTTGTGACTGGGGAGTGTATGTGTTGGTGAACAGGCCTGCTGGTGTTTACTCCTCTCTTTACAACACCTGCACGATGCTAGATAGTATTAGAAAGCAAATGCCATGAGACTAGACATCATGTTTATCTTGCTCAGTTTTTATACACCAAACTCCTAGTATGATGGCTGCCATGTTATTTATTGAATTGTTTGTGGACTATCTAGCAAATATACTTTAAGGCACCAGCGGCATGTTCATAGCTCCCAGAGTGTATCTTTTCTGTTCATCGGGAACCCCATAAAGAACACCCCCCCCCCGAAAGAAGGATCAGTACACCCTGAGGCATGAGGAAGGGGCTTAAATGGAAGATACATAAAAGTAGACTTGGCCAGCTAGGGCCTTTCCAAGAACTACTTACATGTCAGTGATCAGTTAGATGGTCCTGGGGTGGCACAAACTGTTGCATGATTTTAAGGACTTTGTTTATCCTACAGGGTTTGGAATGTTCCAGTGTTCCTGGTGGGCAGATGTGCTGGTTAGACACAAAGTAGAGTCAGCTGGGAAGAGGGAACTTCAACCGAAGAATTTCCCAGATCTGATAGCCTGTGGCCACATCTTGTGAGGGATTTTCTGTATTGTTAGTTGATGTGAGAGGGCCCAGCACACTGTGGATGGAGCCATCCTGAGGCAGGTGAGCCTGGGATTCGGAAAGGTGACAGGGCAGCCAAGTTCTAGTCAGTAGGGAATAATGTATACTGTCCACAAGGGAATGCACACACAATTTTTTTCTCCTTCCCATCTTCTGTGGGCTTGAATGAAGAC